CAAGGAGCTCAAAGAAATTGGAATGGTGCTTTTGAACCCGCCGCGGAAGCCGAAAATGTCAGAGCTGCAGCGGCAAGCCCGCTTGTACCGGACTGCGGCTGGGGTCTTCCCGCACGAGAGCTGGGAAACATATCTGGGAGGGCCGCCGGAAACCGAGCTGTAGAAGGGGGCTAAGAGAGAAAGAGCCATGTTTGTGGGAATTTATGAACAAGGAAACGCAGAGGTAATCCAAAGAAAGACCATGGAGGAGCTGTAGATATGTAGGAGGGGTGTGTTAATGGTCTTGCTGCGCCCAGTAAGGGCGCCCTCAGATGTCATTCTAGAGTCCGAGCATTTAGCGTGGCGGACGAAGGATGAACAAATAATGAACATCCTATGCCAACGTGAATGGATGCACGATTATCTCACGGGGCTGCCAAAATCGAGTTCATGTTCGCGATTAGAAACGAGTGACGGACCCAACCAGCCAAAGCTTCCGGTGCCGAAGGGCCATAAACTAGACAGGACGAAAAACGAACTGACGGAATCAGAATAGCGAGTCAGACTATTTTTTTAAATCAGTTCGATATTATTTTTGTGTCATGATTGGGGCACTCCGATCCACGTACGGTGGGCGCTAAGATAACGCGTTTGCCACGACACCTACTTGAGTATCCGAGCTTGTTATCCGGGATGTGGTGCATATCATTTTTTCGCTCTCCCGTATGCCAGCGCACACACGCTGGGGCCAAATTGCACCAAGACGTGTCATCAGAAGTCCTCCTCTCCACAGGACTCGAGACGATGCGCAGATCGGAAGTCTAAATTTGGCGAGGGCGGTACTTGCAACGGCTGAGGTAGGAATTAGGGCAGCCTAGCACGTTCCACCGGGTCACCTTTCATGTAGCACGCAAATACTCACAGCTTACCATGCTCCAGGGGTCTGAGGAAGATTCGCAGGTATGCCAGTCCGCAAGAAGCCCGGTGGCAGCAAGCTAGGTGACGGCGATCGGGATGGGATACGGGAAGTTCCTTCATCAGTCAAGACTACCGCCAGGAAAGGACGTTCACCGCCTACGAAAAGGGTCAAAATTACAAACGTTGATGTCCTGGGAAAGGCGATTCCTCATTCCCGTGGTTTCTCTTGCGGGGGGCCGCTCGACGGACAACCTCCTGCCGAGGATTCTGCCAGTCCATTTCCGTGGACCTCTGAATACACAAAGGCTACCGAAACCGTCTCACCCAAGGATCTCCCTTCAATCATCGATATGGTAACTGGTCGTGCAGTACCTTGGCCGGGGGCTGACTGGGTGGCGAAGGACGCAGCAAAAAGAGCTGTCTTAGGTCTTGATACCGAAGCTCGATTGATAGGCTCGGTCACGGTGCATGTGCACATGCGGTCCGCAATCCTCCGTGCGATGCTTTCGGCTCAAAAGGTAAAATCGACCCAGAGGCCCGTAAAGGGCTTGAAGGTGCCCATACAGGTAAATTGGGATCGCACGAGCGGGGAGTTTCCGACTCCTCAAGGCCAGCTGCCCCTGTCCCGGCTTCTCTGCGCCATGGACGAGAAGAAAGCTCTGTGCCCCGAGGAGTCCCACGCCAGCATCATGGAGCGCCTATGGTCCCTCCAAAACCCGCAATCCTCGCCATGGCGGCGGCCCATGATCCGGCTTCTCACGTCCCTTCAACCACCACCAGCCATCCTTCTTGCCCCGGACGAGCCCGAGGAGGAGGAAGCTGACCTGAACGTGGAGGTGACATTCCACGTGTATTTCGGCCGACTAATTTTCGAGCTGATCGCGAACAGCGACACGCAGGCCCTAATGGCAGCGCTGACACCGGCCGGAGACGTCTTTTCCGCAGCCAGGCTGCCTCCGTCCACCGGCAGGTTTCGCCGCAGCCCGAGTGGGACCCCACGTCCGTCGAGCAACGCCACGGCGGGCGCAACGTCGAGCAATGGGGTCGTGGACGTTGTCGAGGAGAGCGAAGGCGAGGGGCGGGTAAAGGAAAGGAGGTCGGAGGTCGGGGGGGAGGAGGCCTCTGTGGGGGGGGTGCTGGAGCCTGGAGGAGGCGACCATGGGCCGGAGCAGGAAGCCACGTCCGTCCCAGGAGCGACCGAAGGTTTGTCAGCCACGCCCTGGGAGCGGGCGCGGCGGGATTTTCAATTTTCTCTGCCAGGTCTCCTCCACGCGGCCGAGAGCACCGGGTACGCCGTCCGCGACCCCCAGCCCCGGGGCTTGACCGTTTCCATGTTTGAATTTCAACGGTCGACGTTACAGTGGATGTTGGACCGGGAGCGGGGCCCAAGCCTGAACGAGTACTTCTGGGAGCGCCGGGCCTGGAAGGACGCGGAGACCGCGGAGGAATGTTTTTACTACTTCCCCGACGCGGGGGAGCTCCGGTTGGAGAAGCCTCCTCACAGGACGGGAGGAGTCTTGTGCGAAGAGATGGGCCTGGGAAAGACGGTAGAGTGCTTGGCCTTGATCCTGGCCAACCCGCTGGCGGCTGAAGGGGGGGGGTCGGACGAGCGGGGCGCCAGCGGGGACGAGGAGAAAGGGGATAGTCCGTGGCCAGGGGGAGGAGACGCGGTCCCTGCTACAACGGGCGACCTGGGGGGGCAGAAGGGCCGGAGAAGAAGCGGGGGGGGTTCGAACGGGAGCCGCCTGGCACAGGGGACAGGGGGCGCCGGCGCTGAGGGATGGAAGGAGGACGGGCTGGAAGAGGAAGACCTGACAGGACGCCCCTCCCGTGCGACGCTGATCGTCGTCCCTGGCACATTGCTGAACCAGTGGATGATGGAGGTCCGAAAAACCACAGAGGCGGGGGCCCTGGAGGCGCTGGTCTTCCGAGGGAATGTCAAAGTGACGAAGAGCTTGCGGGAATTGCGACGCATCTCACGCGAGGGGTGGGTGGGCTCTTTCATTCCATCCGCAGCAGAGTTGCCCGTGGGAGAGCTGGTATGGGCCCCCGTCTGCCTCACCCCGGATCGTGAAAACCAGGGCTCGGCGCGCCGGGGTACGGCCGGTCCTGCCTCGTCCTCGCCTTCCCATCCCCCGGCCTCGCTGCGGGATCCGGACAGGAGACGCCTTCGCGAGAGCTACCAGCGGGCGAAGGTCTTGAAGGTCATGGAAGGGCCGCTGGGCGCCACGGTGGAGCTGCGCTACTGGTACGAGAGGAACGAAGTGTGGGATGCCGACCTGGTGATCACTACCTACGACGTCCTTCGTAACGCGAACGGCGGGCCCATGCTCCGGCACGTGCACTGGCACCGCGTCATTCTCGACGAATGTCAGGAGATTCGGACCTCCACCTCGGCGATCGCGAAGCTGTGCTCGGTCCTGCACGCCACTCACCGGTGGATGGTGAGTGGCACCCCACTCTTCGCCTCTGTGGACGACCTCTTCGGCGAGCTGCAGTTCCTGGCAGTCTCCCCCTTCTCGCTGGCCAACGATGGTTTCTGGGAGGCGAAGGTGGGGGGGCCCTGGAGGCGACGGGAGGAATCCGCTTTGAGGTTGCTGCATCTACTCGTCTCGGTCTGCATGATGCGGCACTCCAAGGGCCAGGTGTACGCCTGTACCGGCAGCCCTTTGGTGGCGATGCCAACTCGGACCATCACCTGGCAGCCCGTGGAGGGAAGCTCAGTCTCGGAGCAGTTTTGCTATGCCTATCTGGAGGTGCTGG